TTTTCTTTATTGAAGAAATCTCATCCTCGCAAGCGTCTCTCCAGCCCTTATCTCTCTTTGCTTCATTCCAGCCCCATGGCTCTTCATTAATTAAGAAAAGTATCCTCTTTGTTTCTGCTTCTTCAGCCAACAACACATAATCCTAGAGGTATCTAGGTCTTCTGGTTGCTCTTGTCGATCTTCTCAACTCAGTTGTTGACTCCGTATGAGGATCTTCTTCTTCTTCTTACAGACATCTTCTGGCTCGGAGCCATTGTCTCCACCTTGTTCGTCACTAATACTGTCATCGTTTGTATTCCTATGTTTTCCTTCTTCATATCCATAAGACGGGAACGTAAGTACTTCTTTTTCATTGCTTACTTCTTTTCTTTTCTCATTCCAATTCCAGCTTTTGTGTTCATCGAACACTACATCTCGACTTACTATTACCTTGCACGCTGTTGGATCGTATAACCGATAAGCCTTTGATCCTGGCTCAGTTCCAAGATGAACTAGTGCTCGCGATCTATCTCTAGTTTCCTGAGATGTGGTGTTTCATTCTTGGTGTAGCAGACGCATCCAAAAACGCGAAGGTGTTCCATGTTTGGCTTCTTGGTTTTAAAACTTTCATATGGAGTCTTATCTTTCAAGCTTCGTATCATGATCCTGTTTATGAGGTACGTCGAGTGTCTTACTGCTTCACCCCAGAGGTAGTTTTGGTATACTTATATGCTTCATTATACTCTGAGTCATCTCCATTAGAGTTTGGTTTCCTCTCTCAACGACTCCGTTTTGTTGCGGCGAGTATGGTGTGGTAGATGTTGTTGTATCCCATTGATGTCACAGAAGGCCTTAAATTCGTGTGAGGTGAACTCACCTTCTAGATCTGTTCGTAAGGTTTTGATTTTTGCTCATGTTTCTTGCTCAACAATCTGCTTGAATCTCTTAAATTTCTCAAACGCTTCACTCTTCTCTGTCATCAAAATTGACCACATATAGCGTGTATGATCATCAATCAAAACAAAAATATACTTCTTTCGAGCTGTTGTTGATGGAGTTATTGGTCCACAAGGATCTGCGTGGATAATTTTGAGTACACGAGATGCTCGATATGTTGTGGCCTTTGGAAACGACCTCCTTGCTTGCTTTCCCAACAAACATGACGCGCAAGTATTCTTCTCGAACTCCATGTTAGGCATTCCTACAACCACTTCCTTGTTCATCATTGACCTCATGGTATCAAGACCAAGATGACCAAGTCTTGCGTGCCAGATTGCTGAATTATTAATCTTCTCAGCCTGAAGACATTTAGTACTCCCAACCTCCATAGTCACCTTATATAACCGATTCGTTGACCTGATCGACTTCACCAGCAAGTTACCCTCTCGATCGTAAAACATCAGATAATCTTCTCTCATTCTAACATCACAGCCTGATTCCGTTGCCTGACCAAGACTTATGATATTGCTTCTCAAGTCTGGTATAAAGTATACATCAGCTAGGATCTTTCGCTTCCCATCCTTAGTTATGAATAGAATCGATCCTTTTTCTTTTATATCGATACGAGAATCATTACAAAATTTTAGTTTTCCTGTTATCTTCTCATTTAGCTTCACAAAATAGCTGTGATTACCGGTCATGTGATTACTTACACCATTGTCTAGGTACCACACGTTGTCAACTTCCGAGTATTGCTCAAATTTTCTTGGTGTGACGTTTTCTTCATTGAGGAAAACTATTTCATGCATCATCAGCTCCTATGCTTCATGTGTGCTATCATTCTCATTCTATTGTGTCTCTTGTAGTTTGAGCTTAAGATCAGGGCAGTCGTAAACATAGTGACCAGTTTTATCACAACAAAAACAAACTACTTTGGATGCATCTCTTCCATGTGTTCAATTACGTTGATTGTTGTATCCATTGTAACTGTGTCCTCTTCCTCTGTTTCCAAAGCGGCCTCCTCGTCGTCCTCTTCTTATACCATAGTTATCGAAACCAGTCTGAACTTCCTCTACCATAGCTGTCTTGTTGGGGTTTTGAATCCTTATTCATACATCAGTTTCCATTGATCTTCTTGTTGTTCCTCAACTTGGATTTTTTCTTAAAAGGCCTTTAACCGCCCAACAATATCTTCGAAACTCGTAGTATTTAGGTCAAGAACTTGTTCAAGCGCAGCGGTGATATGTATGTATTTCGTACGAGGCTCTGGAGAAATTTTTTCACAAGTTTAGATTCTTCAATACTCTCTCCCAAGGCTGAAGACTTTGAAGATAGCTCTGCGAGCTTGCCCAAAAAATCATCAGTGGTATCTTTTTCCTTCATCCTCAATCGACTGAACTCATCCATTAAAGTTTGCAGGCGTGCTTACCACTTACCGAACCTTGTCTGCTCCCACATGTCTCGATTTAATAGCATCCCACACTTCTTTAGATGTTTTAAGATTGCCAACTTGCAGGATTAGATGTTCCGGTATTGAATGGAACAAAAGAGCTATCGCCATATCACTTTTGTCTCCATCATCTGAGCCTGGATCTATAGATTCCCTAAATTTATGAACTTTAAGCGCCACTTGCATTCGTATGCTCCATACCGTGTAGTTGGTGGTGGTAAGCATCGGACACTTGATCGCCGAAGAGCCACTTTCCTTCGGTTTATCAGCAGCCACCATTACATCTCCCATGTTATTAGTCTCCTCTTCTCCTTACACGAATTTGATTTCGATTTTAAGCTCTGATACCAATTATTGAAATTAAACATGTAATCTTAATACATTGATCAAGAACTCAAGAACTCAAATCTCTTTATTAATCACTCAATTTTTTAAAAAGTAATCTCAAAAAACTAAAGCCCTCAACTCATAAGTTATACCACATCATAGTATCACCTTATACAGTCAAACCTCTATAAATTAATAATGTTGAGACTACACCAAAATATAAATTTTTATCAATTTATAGAGATTATTAATTTATCAATATACTAACTGAACCAAAAACTCAATTTAGAATTATAAAATTGTACTAGATCTTGACCCGCCCGACCGGGCGTGTACTAAATTTTTCGTATAACTTTTTGTTTGTTTGTACTAATTGTTGCTATTATAAGAAAATCAGACAATTTACATATAATTGAAGATATGTATAGTATATATAGGGAAAAATAAATAAAGTTTTAAAATTCGAGATATGTATAGTTAGCATGATACAAACTATAAATAAATATCCATAAATTTTGAAAGATATAAAACATTCGGATTTAAAAATTTAAAAATATAAAAATATAAACTTTTTTAAATTAAATTAATAATATAGATGATTACGTATTTTGTAAAAATTAATTTATGGAGAGAAATCTTATGATAATTTATTCTTCACCTAAATGTAGAAGGTAGCGAAAATATAGGATACAGTTTCTATGTTTTATAGGCATGTTTAATATTTGAGAGTGATTATAGGTGAAACTTATTTTCAGCAAAGATATTATGTTTAGATTTTGAATTTATTGATTTGGTTGGTTTAGAAAGATTAGATCATCTAATTTTATAGCTGTTTGTATTTTATAAGTCATGAATAATATAAATTAAATAACTTCATTTATATATATATATATATTATCAATTAGATTCAAACCTAGCATAGTAGCATTCATTATATTTTCACGTGTAGATAGCCTAACATGAGTGAACATTAGAGATTTGGAAGGTTGAATATTCATATTAATATGATAAAAATAAATTGAAGAAATATGAAGCCTAACATCAGAGATTTGGAGTGAACATTAGAGATTTGGAAAGTTGAATATTCATATTAGTATCATAGCCTAACGTGAGTGAACATTAGATTTTCACGTGTATTTAAGTTCTTTCTAAAAAAACTATAGTGATCATCCCTTGCTATCTAAACAGGAATATGAAGCTCTACTTGAAGAAGAAAATTGCTGATTAAAGTGTTTACATGTTTTACTTTTCCAGTTATTTGATTTTTCAATATGTAGGAGAAAAAGAAAGCTTTATTTTTTTTCTTTACAATGATCATATAACTATATTTTTTGCAGAGAGTTAACATTAGAGATTTGGAAGGTTGAATATTCATATTAGTATCATAGCCTAACGTGAGTGAACATTATATTTTCATGACATAGAGCTAATAATAACACATATGATTTAACACTTGACGTAATTGTTTCCGTGTTTAATGTAAAATTAGCTTCAGTAAATATGCATTAAATAATCGAAAAAGAAAATATAATTTTAAGGAAAGATTATTAATAGTGTCAGTGGCATAGAAGTGTAAATAAGTTGAAAACTCTGAGATATTTTATATCAATACTTCTATTTTAATAATATAGATTATTTATAGAGATTTTTAGTGTATATTAGTTTATAGAGTATTGATTTAAAGAAGTTTAATGTATATTGATTCTAATTTCCTAAACTCATTAGGAAACATATAAGTAACTTTTCCTAAACTCATTAGGAATAACTTGTAGTCTAAGTTAACTTCAAGATTAAATCAACATTCTTCCTCATAAGTTTGAAAACTCCAACCTTCATATATTGAACTCCAATGAGATCTCTCATCTCTTTGAACGTGATTCTCCCAAGTGATTTAGTTAAAATTGTCATCTCATATATATCTCCTTTCAATCTTTCTCTAGTTGTTGAACTAAGGTGAATTCACCCCATATGATGCTTACAAAGCTTCAAAATGTACTATCCTTTCAGATTGACTCCCTAATCATGAGAATAAAAATGTACTATTTGTAAAATGAAGATTTATCATGTGGAACACGAAGAGCATTAGTTATTCACGAATAAAAAATGATGTTTCCTCTGCCGACCCTCTTCCATTGAGCTATTTGTTAAATAACCGAATATTCTAGCCTATAAGCAAAATAATGCTTATTTTCCAAAAACTTATAACCAAAAAATGTGGTGACAATCCTTTCAGATGTGGAAAGGATTAGTCTCTATATAATCCAACCTTCATGATAGAACTAACATAACATACTCAAGCTCTGATTGCGAATGTACACAGCTATAATTTTGGCAAATGTCCCTTATCAAATAAAAATAAATAATGAGTTAAACAAGCTTACAGAATCATCTAATAATAATATATTAGTACATAATAAAATAGGATTACCAGCGGTAAATATATAAATATTTGAAACTCTTGGGGGTGCTTAAGTGTTGTTTCTTAATTAGCCGCACATATAACCATCTGCGTCATCAAGACCCACCCAACTCATGAAAGCAAATAGAAACTCCCTAAAACCCACTTTCCCTTTTCTTCCCCAATCCATTTCTTCTGCAGCACACAAACAAAATGAGACAGACAGAACCCAATGAGTAATCAAAAATCTATTTCATCTGAACAAACACATAGACAAGAGATTGTTACATACCAAATCTCATGTTTGTAACATGCTTAGGAGATCTCTCTAGAGGATAGTCTTCATTATTCAATGTCTTTATCACATCAGCCTTGTTCAACTTCCCTTTACCATCTTTGTCCAAAAACAAGAATACTTCCACTATCGGATCAAATATAGATTCAACCAACTTCGGACCCATTTCTCTCGATTCCTCCTAAGAAACACAACAACGAAACTTAGTTACTTTCAAGACCTAAAACATTCAGCCCATCGATCATAACATCTGGTTGATTATTACCGTTGTTGATTCGGAGGAAGGTTTAGCTAGAAGATAAATGAGACAAAGAAGGACAATAAACTCATTGAACTGTATCCCTTTGCTTCCATCAACATCACACCATCCATATAAACCTTTCACTTCTTCCTCCGACAAACTCATTAGCTTCAGTTCCTCTAAGCATTTCTTCAGCTCCTCCATATCTATTGTCCCGTTTCCATCTTGATCTGCAAAGAAACTCAGAAACCAAAATGTTACAATCTGTATGAATCTTGAAAGATTCAAGAAAACGTTACCATAGGACTCAAAAACGTTTCTGATGTTTCTTAATTCCTCTCTCAGCTTAGGAAACATCATGATGACTGAATCCATTGACTTTAAACTCTGGTGTCCCGGATAATATTTCCTGCTCTCTACCATTTTCCTTTCCAGCTTCGCGTCTAGCTCAGCATACTTCTTGTTGCTCTCTGAGTTTACACAGCAGCAGAGCATGTTTCCTAGGCAGGTTTTGTATTTCAAAAGTATGTGTAAAATTGAGAAAGTTGATAGAGATTACAAAAAACAAAGATCTCAGTCATGTTACTTATGAATGAGAGGGACAAGACGTAGCAGATTAAGTAAAGCATATACACAATCATGACGAAAAGCATTACGAATAGTAGCAAAGTTAAAGGCTCAAGCCTTGGTGGCACTTTCATCATTTCAATGTTTTTTAGTGATTACTTATAATATCTCTTTTGTTTCTTTATAGTTTCTGCCCTCAACACCTTTCAACTGAATACAAGATATAATAATAATAAGGCAAGGTTTAAGGAATCAATAAAGCTTCAACATCAAATATGTACATGACAAGTTTTGTATCTGAATAATACAATCCCTCAAAAGCAAGTAAAGAAGTTTTTCTACCTTAATCTAAAACTTTAATCAATGGTACTACCAGGCCACCCTGCTTCATACCCAACGGCCACATTGTCTCCACGGTGTCGCTTCTTCATCGATGCAGCAGAAACCGAGCTCCCATTGGTGTTGGAAGTCAGAGAGCTTTCAACTAAACAGTTGGTTGTAATTGTAGAATGTATATATGGAAAGGTCATATGTGTCAATAGCATTGTACTAACAGACCTAGTTGGTCTCGTATATATATTGTATCAAACTCATCTAATAAGATTAAGCTTCCTATTCTATATGGTATCAGAGCTTCCGATTCTAAAAACCTAAAACAACAGCCGCCTTTCTTTTTCTCCCCTTCTCTCTTCTTCTTCTTCTTCGCTTCTCACCCATCAGCCGCCATGGCACACCCGACTACTCATGAAACTGTAATCACCATTGATTCAGTCAAGCTCCTAAACGTGAACATGACAAACGTTACGAAGCTCACAGCATCCAATTTCTTGATGTGGAGTCGCCAAATCCAAGCCCTACTCAACGGCTATGGCCTCGCCGGGTATATCACCGGTGCTACCCCAATCCCACCTCCGACAACCATGACAGCTGAAGTCGTCACGGTCAACCCTGAGTACACGTCTCACCAGCGTCAAGATCAGCTCATATACAGTGCTCTCTTGGGAGCGATCTCGTCTAACATCCAACCTATCCTCGCTACAACCACCACTTCTGCGGAGATTTGGGAGAAACTCTCCGCCACCTATGCCAAGCCAACTCGTGGTCACATACAACAACTCCGTCAACAGATCAAGCAGTGGAAGAAAGGAAGGAAGTCCATTGACGACTACCTCCAAGGCTTTATCACGCGCTTTGATCAACTTGCTCTCTTGGGGAAGCCCTTTGACTTGGAAGATCAGATTGAATTCATCGTGGAAGGACTCCCTGAGGAGTACAAACAAACCGTTGATCAAATACAAGAACGTGATGTTACTCCGTCGATTACTGAGGTCCATGAAAAGTTGTTGAACCAGGAAGTCAAACTCCAAGATGCAACAGCTAACTCGGTTCTTCCGATCTCCGCGAATGTTGCTCAGTCTCGCCCTCCGAACACCAACTATCGCAACAACTCCGGCGCGACGCACCACCTCACCACCGACCTGAGCAATCTTGCGCTTCATCAGCCCTACAATGGTGGTGAAGAAGTGACTATCGCTGACGGCTCGGGTCTACCGATTTCGCATACGGGTTCCTCAATTCTTTCTACTCCATCTCGCTCTTTAAAATTAAATAATATCCTATATGTGCCTAACCTTCATAAAAATCTTATCTCCGTTTACCGCTTGTGTAATGCTAATAAGGTTTCTGTTGAATTCTTTCTTTCCCACTTTCAGGTGAAGGATCTCAGCACGGGGGTCCGGTTACTCCAAGGCAGAACTAAAGATGAGCTATACGAGTGGCCAGTACCATTATTCAAACCCACATCCTGCCTTGCTTCCTCGACCACTAAAACACCTATCACCTCTTGGCACTCACGTCTTGGCCACCCAGCTCCACCTATTCTAAACACCATTGTTTCTCAATTTTCTTTACCCATTTTGTTGTCTTCTCAAAAACATACTGCTTGTTCTCATTGCTTAATCAATAAAACCCATAAGTTGCCTTTTTCTTCTAACACCATTGTCTCCACCAAACCACTTGAGTATGTCTATAGCGATGTCTGGACGTCTCCAATAACCTCGATAGACAACTCAAGTATTACGTTATATTTGTGGATCATTTCACGCGATTTACGTGGTTATACCCGCTCAAGTACAAGTCTCAAGTCCAGGCTACATTCATTGCCTTCAAAGCACTCGTAGAGAACCGTTTCAATGAGAAGATCAAAACTTTATACTCAGATAACGGTGGAGAATATATTGCACTGCGCCAATACCTTCAAACTCACGGCATTTCTCACCTCACATCTCCTCCTCACACTCCAGAACACAATGGGATCTCCGAAAGGAAACATCGCCACATTGTCGAAACTGGACTCACACTACTCAGCCAAGCCTCCATGCCTCCCTCGTACTGGTCCTACGCTTTCTCCACAGCCGTCTACCTTATCAACCGTATGCCCACTCCCGTCATCAACAACACCTCCCCGTATGCCAAGCTCTTTCACCAAGTCCCCAACTACCATAAACTTCGTGTCTTTGGCAGCGCGTGCTATCCATGGCTGCGCCCATATGCAAATAACAAAATGGCGATGAGATCGACTGAATGTGTCTTCCTTGGATACTCACTTACACAAAGTGCGTACATGTGTCTAGATCGCAGCAGCGGCAAAATCTATGTTTCTCGCCATGTACAGTTCATTGAAGATAATTTCCCATTTGCCAACATTCCTCCATCCACTCCAATGCATGAGACACCGCAATCCTCTCCTCCTATCTCTATTATCCCACTTCATCTAAACCCAGACCCAGCGCCACTCGTACCAGCTCCATCTCTGTCTTCCCCGAGCAGGGATCCTCACCGCCAGGCTACGCCTGACACTCCATCAGCGTCTTCATCGACGCATGATGCTGTGGTATCTAAGGATACTACACAAGTGGAACCAGGTATTGAAACAACAGCAACCTCCGGCAATGCACAGGTATGTTCTCAAACCCCTACTCCACCTACTACAGCTCCTCATCCTACCTCCACTACCACCACTATCCCTCAACCAGCTCCACCTACCCCACCAACAGTAACTACTCATCCTACCTCCACTGCCACCACTATTACTCAACCCGCTCATCCGCCTGTAAACCCATCAACCAATATACACCCCATGCGCACTCGCGCAAAGAACCAGATACACAAACCAAAAACTAAACACTCCCTGCTCACCATCAAACACCAACGAACCCCACCGATACCAACCACAATTACCCAAGCTTTGCGAGATGAGAAATGGCGCAATGCCATGGGAGAAGAGATGGATGCCCAGATACGAAATCGAACCTATGAGTTGGTCCCACCACACCCCGCTCAGCATGTTATTTCTACTAAATGGCTTTACTCTCTTAAGTATTTTCCAGATGGAACCTTGAAGAGGCACAAAGCGAGATGGGTGGCGCGCGGACACAAACAACAACAAGGCATCGATTACTCTGAGACATTCAGTCCAGTAGTTAAGTCGCTCACTATACTCCTAGTTCTTCAACTTGCTGTCTCCCACGCGTGGCCAATCAAACAACTCGACGTCAACAATGCATTCCTCCAAGGCACCTTAACCGATGAAGTCTACGTTAGCCAACCTCCAGGGTATGTTGACAAAGACCGAACTCATCATGTATGCCGCCTTCGGAAAGCCCTCTATGGTCTGAAATAGGCACCACGAGCTTGGTATCAAGAACTCAAGACATACCTATGCTCAGTGGGGTTCCGCAACTCACTAGCCGATACATCTGTGTTTGTTTACAACACTGCAGGTCGATTCTTATACTGTCTCGTCTACGTAGATGACATTATTGTCACCGGTAGTAGCACCGCCCTTGTCACGAGCTTCATCAATGCCCTCTCCAACCGATTCTCCCTAAAGGATCCAACCGACTTGGACTACTTCCTCGGCATCGAAGCGACAAGAACACGTCACGGTCTACACCTCATGCAGCGCAAATACATCACTGACCTCCTGAGCCGCACCAAAATGGAAGATGCAAAGCCTGTCACCTCTCCGATGGCAACTGCGCCGAAGCTGTCTCTAAAGTCTGGCACTGCCCTCTCGAATCCTACTGAGGACCGTGCTGTGCTTGGAAGCCTGCAATACCTAGCATTCACTAGGCCTGACATATCGTATACTGTGAATAAGCTCTCCCAATTCATGCATCGTCCGACGGATCTACACTGGCAGGCTACCAAACGTATCCTTCGGTATTTAGCTGGTACAAGTTCACACGGCATCTATCTCCGTAAGGACTCACCCCTCTCTCTACATGCGTTCTCTGATGCTGACTGGGCAGAGGATGTTGACGATTTCGTGTCAACAAATGCGTACATTCTGTATCTCGGCACCACACCCATCGCATGGTCTTCGAAAAAGCAACAGGGGGTAGCTCGATCGTCCACCGAAGCTGAGTACAGAGCTGTCGCAAACACAGCCTCTGAAGTCCGATGGGTATGTTCTCTCTTCTCTGAACTTGGCGTCAATCTACCTTCACCGCCTGTGATATACTGCGACAACGTCGGTGCCACGTACCTATGCGCCAACCCAGTATTCCATTCTCGCATGAAACATCTAGCCTTGGACTACCATTTCATCCGCGACAACGTCACCTCCGGTGCTCTTCGTGTGTCACACGTCTCCACCCATGATCAGCTAGATGATGCACTAACAAAGCCGTTAGCCCACACACGATTCATACACCTATCTAACAAGATTGGAGTTCGACAACTACCTCCATCTTGAGGGGGCATGTAGAATGTATATATGGAAAGGTCATATGTGTCAATAGTATTGTACTAACAGACCTAGTTGGTCTCGTATATATATTGTAGCAAACTCATCTAATAAGATTAAGCTTCCTATTCTATAGTAATGTTGGTTTTGTGGTCTATTGCTACTGCAAGCTCGGACAAAGATGGCATTGTTGCATGGAAGAAAGGGACGGTTGTGCTATTGGAGACTTTGATGGCTAGCTCTGATAGCTCTTCCCTAACTGCCTCAAGCCTAGCAAAAGTAGCAGCTTGCTTGTCAAAGGCCTTGCAAGCTTTCTCAAGAATCGATTGCAGGTATTTTCCTTGTGTTTCTATCCTAAGCTGGAGTCTTCGTTGCACCTGCCATACTACAAAAGTTATGACCCCAGGTTTGGAAAATGTTTTATGCGGGTTATAGATATTGTCTCAACCTTTGTGGTTTTTCGGGTTTCCAAGTTTTGAAAAATGTTTTATGTGGGTTATAGATATCTGTCTATCCGGCTTACTTCTCTTAATTTTTACATTTTAAATTGTAATTTTTTACATGCATACACATTTGTATTATTTTTATTAACGATACTAAAATAAACAAGGGCAATTCTCTCAAATATTACTCTTTTAAGTTTTATCACAAAATAGACCTCACAAATTAAAATGACCAAGATAGCACTTTTTATTTTGAAAATTTTAAGTTTTTTGAATTTTTTTAAATTCGAAACATTATCCCCAAAACCACACTCCTTAACTCTAAACAAAAAAAAATCTAGGATTAGTTAACCCAAGGGTATAAATGTGTATTTAATAAAACATTTAAGTGCTATTTTGATCATTCTAATTGTTAAGGTCTATATTTGTGATAAAAACTTTTTTTTGGTCTATTATAGTCATTTTCTCAATAAACAATATGTTTGTCATTGCTTATAAACCATATGTTACACCATCATGCTCCAACACTAACGATTCAGCATGTTACTTCAAATTGACATGGTAAATATATATATATACATAAAGCTTAAAATGTTAGTATTTCGGCAGTATTCAGAATTATGAACTCCTAATATATATGATCATAACTCAATAAGCTCTAATTTCTAAAATTTTAAACCCCGAATCATTTTTATTTATTTTCCTCATCTATTTAAAAATAAACCAACAAACTATAAAAATGGATAAAATATTACATAAAAGTCATATATAAAAAGAAACAATATGTTTAAGATACTCAAAATTTCTGATTATAACGATATCTTTATTAACAATGTAAAATACGGCTTACGTTATCATTATAGTTGCAAATCTTTTTTTCAAATCAGTAATAAAAAATAGAAACAAGAAAATCAGAAGTTCTGAATTTATATTGAATATACTAAATACTAAACTAGCGGCCAATCATTATAGGTACAAATCTTCCACGTATCAATAACAAAAACATGTAAACGGGAAGATTTTAACAAACTGTCGAATATAATGATTATGAAAATCTTATTTTTCATAACATAAATTAGCTTGATGCTAAAAAAATTTATCTAACTATATTGAATCAGTATAGTTAGCGTGAAAATAAATTGAATGGAAAATTGGTAATTCAAGCATATATTAATATCATTATTTTTATCTATATTATTAAAACACAAAACAATTTGAGGTCTTCTTGTGTTTTGTAGGTAGTTGCAGCTATGCCAATGCATTTAAAATTTAATTAAAATATATAATAAATATTAGAAATATCTATATATGAAAAAAATATCCTTAAAAGAAACAATAACTCCATATTCTGCTCTTCTTTACACATAAAATATATTAATAACATTAAATTTTGAGCAATTTTTATAAATAAAAATTTCTCAAGTTTTTATACAAAATGAGCTCCTAAGGAGAAAATGATCAATATTTTTCATTTACTAGATAAAAGACCCATAAACCCTAAATATATAAATACCAAAAATAAAACTAATAAATCAATAAAAATAAATAAAAAACAAGAATTTTTTTTATATTTTTGAATTATATGTTTTCAAATTCTAAATTTTTCGAGTTTTTTTTTTTAATTTTGTTCTCACCTTTATTTTTGAAATCCAAGATTTTTGAAACTATATTTGAAATTTTTATTTTCCAAATCTTTATTTTTTTTGTAAGGTCTTAATCTCAATCTCGAAACTCCACCCCTTAACTCTAAGTCTTAAGGTATAAATTAGTTAACTCTAGAAGTACAAATGTATATTTATTTATTTAATGAAACGATTTGGTCGTTTTGATAATTAGAGACTATATTTGTGAGAAAATCCTTTTTAAGACTATCCTAAAAAAGTTCTCTTAAAATTTTTATGGGAACAATTTGGATTTTTTACCATTTATTCAGTTAATTAATTTCAATAGAATAATTTTAATTAACTACACCACAATTCTAATTTGGTTCACTTCGGGTTTTATGAAAAATAAAAACTTGGCTCGACCCCAACAATACCTGAATCAATCTGATCTGAAAAAAATGTATAGTCTTTAATGGGTCCTAACACCCCAAGCCTAACAGTTTGAAAACTTAATAACTCAAACCGATATGAACGTAAAACCTGAACGCCCTTATTATGAGATGTCAAAATAAATTACTCCCAAGTATAAATGTCAAAACTCATATATTAAAACTTAGACCAAAAAAATTAGTAACTTTTAAATTGAAAATATTAATCAAAATGTTATCCCGCGCTTCCAAAGCGCGAGTCAATATCTAGTCTATACTATTAAAACATAAATCACAACTTTGATTCATCGGTGATTTTTTATTTTTTTAAATGTACATTCCTTAGAAAGAGTATCAAGATTATCAAATGTTATATAATTTAATGATAATATCTTTGTATAACTTTATCTTTTTATTTAAAATACAAATGAAATAAATCCAAGAAAATCTTTTTTGGCATCTTTTTAAATTCTATTTCTGTAAATCATTCAATTTAAATTCTAATTATCATAAAATATCATTAAAAATATTATATTATTTAGAAAGAAATTTTAAATTATTTTCTAATTATATTTTAATGAGAATAATAAAATAAACTGATTAAGTTTCGAAAATACTTATTATACATTAATATATTATGTTAAAAACATATATTGAAATTCTGTTTCAAATATACAGAAATAAAATATTATATATTTATCTTTCTATACTATTAAAAAGAATTCATGAGTCATTTATTATTTAAACCATTCCTTAAAACAATTATAGAATTTTACATAATTTAATTATAGTATCATCCCAAATTTTTATCTTTTATTTGAAATACAAATGTTTTTGTTTAGGCAATTAAAATTTATCCAGATAGCATTATATATTCCTAAAAACTAAAAAAACTATATAGTAGATTTGACCTACACAGATTTTTCATTTTATAAATAAAATACTTTGATATTATTATAAAAATTTAATATATGGTTTACATTTAATGTTATATATTATATAACTCTATAATTTTTTTATATTAAGTTTCTTATTCATCATTATTAATATATAGTAATTTGTTTTTTATATTTTATTTTATTAAGTTTCTTATTCGTCATTATTAATATATAGTAATTTGAGTTTGGTACATAAATTATAATCTGATAAAGTTAAATATAAAATCTTCTTTAGTGTAGAGTTTTATTTTCTGCAATTTGCATACAATACATTTTAAAATTTATTCAGACATATTATAGATAGATATTTGTTAATAATAATTTATATTTTCATGTTGTATTGAAAATGATACTTAACATCTATCATTTTAGTATTTTGTGAGATTTTATAAATAAATATATATCTATTGATAATTTTTTTTTATAAATTATAAATAAAGAGAAAAGGTTTTGTGGGTCGAGATCTAGTTAGTTATTACAGATATCGTATTAAGACTTGGTGATATGTTCTATAAAATATTTGTTAAATTTATACTTTTTGTAATTGTTTTTTAAAAAATAATACCAAAATATATGTCAAATATATTAGAAATATTTTATCAAATTAAAATTTGAAACATATTTATTTTTTATGAATTCAAATTTGAAACATATTTCTAAAATTTAATCATTTAAATATTTATGTATTTGTATATAGTATATAGTTTACTTTACATGTATTATATATATATGTATGTATTTAAGCGGAATGTTTATTAAATGAGATTTTTTACTTATATGATTTTGTGATATTTGTATTTTTTTAATAAGGAAATTAAACTATTAATAACAAATTTTTAATATGTGAATTTTAAAAATTTTAATAGTTTATAGTTATTATTAAAGTTTAAATTCTAACATATACAAAAAATATATTTATTATATGATTAACATAATTTTTTAATTTAATTTAATAATATAAATTAAACACAAATGATAGATGATACATAAATGATGATCAAGTCTTTATTATTCAAAATCATAAATTTTCATATATATATATATATATATATATATATATATATATATTGTCATCAAATTAAGTAATTCCAAAATATTTTTTGTAAGCTATTAATTAAGTTTATGGATATTTTAATGAGAAGTATAGTATATATTAAGATAAATTAACTTATTTTAAAAATATTTTAAAAACCATTAATGATAACACATGACATATCTCACATGTTATATGATTCTTAATTAATACAAGATTTTAATATATGCGCCCGCATGGGTGGTTGTTTTAAATTTATATAAATCAACATTGTAATATATTTTTGGGAGTACATATTTTGAATATTTACCAGTGTTTAAATTTTGGGTAGTTTGTACAGAGAACAAATTTCTTGTTTATATACAATGAATTTATTTATTATATCTAACCTATAATTGTGTTAGTCATTCATATAGAGACTTATATTATTCGATTTGCATTGGACTAATAGTTACATAAAAATATGTATGAAATAACATTTTAAACATAACTTGGCATTCTAGTATTACAAAAAACCAAGCACATGCCTGGAAGGTCAGGGCTCCGCAAAAGATTTGCCATCTTATGTGGCAGTTAATAACAGGACATGTAGCTGGTACGAGCATCTTAAACTACAGACATATGAGATGTGACAACCATTGCCCTCGTTGTGGGGAACCCGAGGAAACGATCACACATGCAATATTTGAATGCCCACCTGCATTACAAGTTTGGGCGCTATCATCTACGCCTACCAATCTCGCTTTGTTTCCAGTACAAAGCACGTACGCGAATATGGACTATCTATTCTGGAGGAAGAATGCAATAATGGAACCGGAATTGGACATGGATCCTTATCCTTGGCTAATCTGGAACATTTGGAAGGCTAGGAATGATAAGCTATTTAGAGGCATTGATAGGGATCCATTGAAGGTAGCGCGATATACAGAAAGTGAATGCCAAGCATGCTTCCAAGCAAATGACCAGGATATACCGCTCTCCCTTGGGAACGGAACATTTGAAGACCAGGCCTTAAGTTTGGGTAACATATGCATGGTGGATGGATCTTGGACTTCTACGGACTTTTTCAGTGGATGTGGATGGGTGTTGAATGATATCTCCGGAAAGAGTCAGTTATTGGGGCTGCGTAATTTTGATCGAGTGGAATCGGCGTTGCATTCAGAGTTGGAAGCACTGCGGTGGGCAACGAAGAACATGCTTCAACATTCGCCATGTTAGAGCTTTGGAACCGATTGCAAGGATTTGATCGAGATGCTCAGGAATCCTCATGCATGGCCTAGCTTCTCAACAGAACTGGAAAAATTATTGCCACTGAAGATCTGCTTCCCTGAATTTAAGATTTTTTATGTTCCTAGACTTCAGAACGGCGCTTCTGATTCTCTAGCTAAGATAGCTAGGTCTTTTTATCATAAGCTTGTGTACGTTGGTTGTTCTATTCCGGTCTGGTTACCCAGACCACCTCAAGTTGCTTGAGTAATAGATCAGTCGTTTGATGTAAAAAAAAAAAAAAACAGAACTTGGCATTATATATATATATATATTACAAAACTGATTGTTAACATGAGGTTTAACGGGTTTTTAGTAGTGATAAATAATGAGGAATAAACTAAAATATCATAGCTAATATTTTAGTAAATAATAATATCCATTTACTTAATGTGGAATATCTAGCTAATGAAGAAGTTTAAATGATAATACAACATTTTAAAAATTAATAAAATAGTAAAATACCTGAAGGTAAATTTATTAAAGGGAGACAAGTAAGCAATTACTATTACTATGTTTATTAAAGAAGTTAATTTTTATAAACTAAATACAAAACAATTATAAGTCCAAAAAAGTTAATCATAGTTCAAATATTAAAAAAATAGCAAAAAAGAATTGTTATGGTTATTGATTACGAATATTTTTCATCTAGCTAAAATTTAATTTAATTGTTAATTTAAATATTAATTTATAACTTCTATTATTTATCAATTTTAATTAGGATAACTTAGTCATTTTACTTAAGAGAAAGTGTAGTTTTCAAAGGAATAAAAACACATTGTATTTTTCAAAATAAATTCTCTTTCTAAGGTATTTTTCAAAATTTTCCCTTTATTAAATGCCAAATAGAATTCTATATACTATATGGTTTAGTTAATGTAAATATAGAGAAATGTCTATAATTATCGGAGTTGAGGTATTTATTAAATTTTAATCAGTTTGTTATTTTATCATTAGCATATATTGATTTATGTATTTTAGGTGTTTGGTGATATTTTTTTACATAATACTCCTTTTGTATAACAATTAAATATGCATTTTTAGAAATTTATTAAAATGGAGAAATATATGGAAAGTTTGAACATTAATTATTTTGAAATTAATTTAGGAAGGATCTGTTTAATTGAAAATATATAATAAAGGCTAAAAATTAGGAAGCAGTTTTTGAGTGGCATTAGAATGTAAATAAAATGTTATTTTAAGGGTAAAATTAAATTTATACTTTAGTTTTAATAGATTAGTTATAAAGAATAATAGTATTTAAAAGAATTATGTGACACAAACAAGAAAGAAAAATCAAGAGAAATATATAAAGGAGATAGATGATTTTTTTACTGTTACCACCCATAAACCCTATATTAATATCAAAAACATATGAAATAAACACTTTCTAGAGCTTCAGTGGAGCGCATGGTGGTGTGGTCAGCGGAGCGCAAGGAGGAACAAGCTATCTAGAGCTTCAGCGGAGCGCATGGTTGTGTGGCCACCGGTGGTACTGTGCGGATGCGACTTTGGGGAGAGTGTGGCAGATGTAGTAAACAATATATGTAGATGCATTTAATCTGAGAATGCCCAAGAGTTTCTACGAATTTGAATCCATTAAAATCACCAATGATTAACTGAAAAACAAGGATTCTTATATAAAATCAATAATTC